AGGGGGTTTCCAGTATGGACATCGGTGGCTTCTGAACACAAATTTTTCTCCGGTTAAAGAAATGAGAAATTTTGGCTGAAACAAAAAAGTAAAGGTTGTGCCTGAATTACTTTGTCACGGTTGCAGGAACTTCTTATCTACCCAGCAAAGAGAGCAACTGTGTTTTCTGGAATTTTGCACATCACTGCTAAGTGGCCAAGTGAGACCACAGAAAGGCAAAAAGGGCCACAGGAGGAGCCTGGGCAGGTTAAAGACACAGTAAAGAGTCCCAGAAAGTGCACGGTCTCAGGAGTGTGAGGAGTTTTCATTCTGTATACACTTTCCTCAAAGTCTGAGTCCTGGGTCCAGTGTTAGGCTCTGAAGGTACAGAGATGCTCAATGCACCACCTGTATCATTTTAAGAAGGATACAATTAACAAGACCCAACACTGCCAACATGTGGAAGGCGATGGGCCAAGAAAAGCCACCAGTTTGCAAGCCCTGGTGATCTGAGAGACAGTGTAGCTTGGTGGAAGGCCTGGGATAGAAACCAGACTATAGGAGGTTAAGACATGAATGTGTCCCCTCTTATTTATCGCACTGACAGAAGGGAGGAAGGCAGAGTCAGGAGAGCAGGCTTGCAGGATGGTTTGGAGACTTCACACCGAAGTCAGACTGGAAGGAAGCTGAGAGTTATGAGGGCTTTTTAAAAATAATTTCTTAATCTGGAAAATATGAAAATTCATTCCCCTAAATCCAGTAATTCCACTAATGGGACTCTAGCCTAGAAAAATAATCACACTAAGGGATATAGAAAGATGTAGGACTCTTCATTCTACAAATTTATATGCAATTTAAAGTTTCTATAGTTAGCACGTGTTTTTTTAAATATTTTTTTTTAATTTATGAGAGAGCAAGCAAGAGAGCCCATGAGCAAGGGGAGAGGGATAGGGAGAAGCAGACTCCCTACAGAGCAGGGAGCCACATGTGGGGCTCTATCCCAGGAGCCTGAGATCATGACCTGGGCTGAAGGCAGATGCTTAACTGAGCCACGCAGGGACCCCAATAAGCATGTGTTTTATAATTTTTCAAGAAGACTGGCAGTACTAAAAAGGGGGGAAATCTGAAAACCCCTACATAAAATATACATATTAATAATAAGCCACGGGAAATGACTTTAATGTCCAATACTAGAGGAATGATTAAAAAAAAATTAAGATACATTGTAGGACTTTTTGTAACAAATCAAAGAAAATAATGAAAAGCATGTAATAACACAAAAAAAACTTCACCAGTTTAGTGAGGAATAAAGGCCAAAATAGAAGGTAGGTTAGGCTTATGTAAAAATGTGCATAAAACAATGAGCAAATAACTTGTGTACACAAAAACCATAACAAGAGCCATGTTAGCATGCTAGGATTTAGGTGGCTTTTTCTCTTCACTGCTTTCTAACAGTTTTGTAAGAACATGGTTTTACTACCACTTTTTCGTTTTTTTAACAGAAAAGAATGACATGTGCCACAAAAGAAAACCCAAAATGAAGCTGTCATAGATGAGCTGTCAGTGTAGCAAACAAGGGCTCCAGAAGGCAGCCCTACCCGCTGGTTTTCCACGTGGACATTGCAGAAGAACAGTGGAGTGGTGCAGTGCATACCTGACCCTCCCAGCTCGTCAGACCTCCAAGCCTCAGGCAGCCATGTAAAATGAAGGTTTTAGAACAGTTAACCTCTACGGTTTCTTCCAGGTTCTAGATGACATGATTCTAAGTGGAAAGGACAAAGAAATCAAGGACCAGACAAATTAGGGATTTCCTCAGGTTTCCACATAACACTCAGTATCCAGGTCGGAGGGGGTTCTGCATATCAAATTATAATGTTTCCTTCAGACAAAACAATGCACAAGCACCGTGGGGCACTGCATATTACACACTACCTCTAGCTTTAAAAAGAAAAAGATGCTTATAAATTAACAGCAAGAAAATACATGGTTGTGAAGTTAATTATTTCAAAGTAAAGCCACAACAGAAAACAAAAATGTTAATTAAGGCAAAGCTACACTATAAGCTGCAGTCACTTCTCCAGGAGTTAGGAAACAGGCAGATGCTGGGGTGGGGTTAATAGGCCAGGGGGCTGTGGACACCCCTGGGGGGAGACAAGACGAGTTGGACCTTACCCTGTAAGAGGACTGGGTTTATTTGGGGTGATGAAAGTTTTGGTGATGAAAGTATTTACTGGGGTGATGAAAAGGTTCTGGGATTAGACAGTGGTAGATAGATACACAGCCTAGTGAATATACTAAAAATTACGGACTTCGTCAATTTGAAAGGGTATTTTATGGTATAGGAATTATATCTCAATTAAAAGAGAGAGAGAGAGAGAGAGATGTGGCCAGAGGCAGTCAGAGACTGTGGGAAAAGTCAAGGGTACCAGAGACGAGAAATCAGGAAAAAGTTCAATTGGAAACAAATTTCAAAGGGCTTGGAACATAAGGAAAAGGTAACTGGAAGTTACTATCCATGAGACCATAAGGGAAACAAAAGACTCATGGGAAAAAGAACAAAAAAACAAAAGTTCTGACAACAATATCTGCTTCCTCTGCTGGAAGACAAGCCTAGGGCAAGAGGCATCATCCAGGTCCTGCTCGGCTGAGGACTACGCTGGGTCTTGGGTGCACCGGAGTGCATCAGTGTTTGAAGGTTACTCTGGTTTGAGTGAAAAGAAAAGTAAGGCAGACCCAAGACAGGGTCAACTGCGAGGCTCATTAAGTAATAAAAATTACTCTAGGCAACTCCAAACCAGGAACTTTTTACACAAAGGTGTGAAAAGATGGGAAAAAGCAAGGGGTTCTGCAGTAGCCTTTGCTGCCAATTACAGGAAGTAAACCTAACAGGTTTCAATGCAAAGAGGTTACATAGTTTAGTTCTAAGCACATAAAACTCAAGCCCCTGAACAAATTCTGCCTATGTTCAAAGGGAGAAAAAGGAAATGAAGAAGGAAAAGCAGAGAAACACAAGCTGAGTAGATGGGCAAGAGAGGATGGAGTGACCAGGGTCTCTGCAAGCAGCTCCTTGGAGATGCAGAGCTGCAGAAAGCCGGGTGAATGCAACATTGATTGGGAATGAGGTAACCACAAACACCACGGTCTCAAATGAAAAGGGATTCAAGATCTGACCCAGAAAACAAGCACCGTAACCACCAGATAAAATTTTAATGATAAACACAAGATGCTCTACACACAAGCAAGACTGAAGTACCCGATGCTAGGCCATAAACATAAGGTTCTCTTAGAAAGAGGAGCCGGGAGGAGCCTCTCTGACCCACAGATCACGTTTCATCTTATCGATCCACGAAACTCTGCCATTGCTTTGTGTTGTGCTGGCATAATCTGTGATGTTGAGCAGACCTCAGGGGAACGGGGAGCAGGAAAAGAAGGGCTGGCATCTGGAGTCGTGGCCAGCCGGCCTTTGTGAGGGCCACGTCCAGATAAACTCCTACTTGGCTTTGGAGATTAAAGTCTCCTTTATCTCTAATTTCCTTTCGGACTCTCAGTCCAATCTCAACATTCTGTCCTCAAAGGCCTCCTGACACACTGGGAGACCCCTGTAAGCTAGAAGGACAGAAGTCCTTTCCGAGTTACCATGGAGCCTTAGAATCTGTAGGCACAAAGGACCTTACGTAGCATGAGCTCTGAGGCCCACATTTCTGCTATGAGAGGCAAAAGCCTAAAGCCGCACTGATACCTGAATGGACAGAATTCCAAAGTTCAGGTCCATTCATCTTTCCAAAAACAGTGATTCTACAGCACTCCCAAGAAGGCATTCACCTCTACATCACGGCAGCAAAAGAAAAGCTAAGGAAAAGCGTTCTTTCCGGTCGTATCTAGTTTCAAGCAAAAATACTTTTTCTAGGTATGGTAGATCACAAAACAATCTGTTTGGAGTTGTTTTTTTTTTTTTTTTTTAAGATTTTATTTATTTATTTGACAGACAGAGATCACAAGTAGGCAGAGAGGTAGGCAGAGAGAGAGGAGGAAGCAGGCTCCCCGCTGAGCAGAGAGCCCAATGCGGGGCTCGATCCCAGGACCCTGGGATCATGACCTGAGCCGAAGGCAGAGGCTTTAACCCACTGAGCCACCCAGGCGCCCCTCTGTTTGGAGTTTTTAACTCCCATGGTGCTTCTTAAGCAAAGAGTCTTCTTTAAAGAAAAAGACTCACCTACTACACCAAGCTGTTCAGGCCAAGATTTGTTTTTGGTCCTCCGGACAGGAACCTCTCCTGGGGGGGCTCACTCCAAAGCCAATTCAGACTCGGGGTTTTAAATGTTATGGTCTCTACTCAGGGAATTAAATATACAGTGTGGGACTATAGTTCAAAGACCACTTCTCAATCCAAAGATCAAACTGGTCTTCTCACTGTACATTAAAAAAAGCCTTTTTGCATCTGTTAGTAAAATAGGAAGAATTCATGAAAGGGATTTTGGGGACAGTAGCCACAGGAATTTACAGAAGCTAAAATTAAATTTCTTGGTGATGATGACCACTAAAAAGCTTATTTCAGGACGAGCAGCAAACAGGTGCTGTGTAGTGGGGAAGGAGTATCACATGTGGCCACAGCCCTTTCTCATAACGACAGCTTCAGAACAAGAGAGTAAGAACAGGCTCCGTTTGTGCCAACATGTATTATTCTTGCTTGACTTTTTTATGTCTTCATAAAATACAGACTGTTTGCCTTAATGAAAATCTAACCTAACATGCCACAAGTGATTTAAAAGCTAGGAAAGACATATCGAGACAAATGGATTATAGCTCTACACTCTACACCATTCGCTTCCCGCCACTCACTTCAGACTCCTGAATGCGGGACAACAGAATCGTGGAGATTCTCCATCACACCCGGGCTACCACGGGAAGGTACGTGCTCTCAGGGGACGAGAACGTCACCGGGGCTCAGAGGGTGGCCCATGAAAAACGGAAGACCTTAAGATGAAGAGTTAATCATTAAGTGAAAAATTACGTTTGCTTACCCGGCAATGACAACGCCGTCATGGGAATGCACGTCGCACAAAACCGCGTCAGGAATGTGTTCCAGCTCGCTCACGGCACCTCTGCGATTCTGTGTAAGGAGAAGGGAGATGCAGTGTGTACTGTTCTTGGGATCCCCGGAAGCTGGCATTTCACTTCCAGCTACGTTCGACGGCTATTTCTTAGCACTTGACTGTGCTCAAAGTTGCTGGGGCGTTCCAAAGGACAAAGGTGACAACGAATAAAATCAGGTGTTAGCATTTACGGGTTACCGCACACATGAGTAGCACTGAAGAGGAGGGCGGGGGCATGGGACATGCAAGTCGCTGCTCCTGGGCTTGAGGGGGTTACAGGGTATAAAGGTAGTGTGTGAGCGCACAACTACGATGCACAGTAGGTGGGCAGTGGCAAGTATCTGAAGAAATGCATCACATGTATTTCGAAAGTTCAGTTCAGAGGACGGAAGGCATTTAATGGCATTTTACCTGTCAGCAGCCCTTATGAACACTCGGGGGATAAAATGAGCAAGGACATACAAAGATAAAATGAGGATGGGGAAAATAAAGACTGCAAGGTCAGAGGTTCATGGAAACGGTAATTTTTTTTTTTAGATTATTCATTTGAGAGACAGACAGACACAACACAAGCTGGGGGTAAGGGAGAGCACACTCCCCGCTGAGCTGACGTTTAACCCGCTGAGCCACCCAGGCACCCCGGAAACGGTACTTTCGAAGGGAACCCAAAAACCCATGACGAGTGTTGCTCCTGAGGGGCCCAGGTGGCAGGCAGAGAGACACAAGAGACAGATGCACTTTCCACCCTATGCCCCTTTGTGGGTTTGGAATCATTTGTACAAAGCTCATTACGCGGGTCGTGGGCCACGCTGTACAGAAGGAGTGCTCGTCCCCCTCACCACAACCCGACACTGGCCATACACAGCAGAAAATGGGAGCACCCGAAGGGAAAACAACTTGCTTTAACACTACTTTTCATGTTTTTTCATGCTTGCTTTCTAGAATCCCAGTAAGAATCCCCTCATTACAGCTAGCGTAGGGGTCGTCATTCCGCACTTCACTCGTGGAGTCCTCACTGCTAACGGGACCAGGAAATGGGCCGAGATGCTGCGAAGAGTCTAATTCCAGTTTATGAATTGGCATCGTTTATGGAGTGCTCACTAAACAAACGGCGGTGTGCTTGTCAGAGGGAAAAACGAAACCTTTTGTTCACCTGCACGTAACCTGCCACAGTTATGAAGGGCCAGAGGTTTGCAGGTGGGTCTCTGAACACCTTCCCTGCTGCCACCTCCAGCCGATGAGGAGGAAGCAGCTGCATCCCTCTGTGGCCTTCTCTATCACCAAAGCAGAAGGAGAAACTCAGGGTGGTGCTCCTCAGGGTCTGACACCTCTGAATTTGTCACTTTAGCTCCCAGGAACACAAGTCAGAAGTATCCCTCCTTTCCAGAGGCAAAGGCCCCAGTGAATGCCCAACTCGCCAGCTCTCCTTAAATTCCAGCTCCTGCTGCAGGGCTGGACCCGGCCTGTCTAAATAGTGCCATCAAACCTTCCTGACTGCCTCTCACTGAGGTCTCTCACGCTGGCCCAACCACACAGGCAAGAGCGCTGGCAGCCTCCACTGGAGTCCATGACCTGGTGAGCACACAGCTGTGGGGCCCGGGCGCTTCTTATTTAGTGGTGGGGTCTTAAAGCTCTATGAAAGGATGGCTATGCTAGCTCTCCTGAGAAAGGTAGTTCTCAGCCAGGGGAGATTTTGCCTCCCAGGGGATGCACGACACGTCTGAAGACATTTGCGGTTGTCACGACTGGAGGGAGGTAGACAATGCTACTGGCATCCACTACGCAGACGTTAGGGAAGCTGCTCAACATCCTGCCACACACAGGACAGTCCTCACCAAATGTCACTGGGGTCGTGTGCTGGGGTCGAGAAACCCTGAATTCAAGAAACACTGCTCTTACTAACTCTGCTAGAAACCGTGTAAGTTTGCCCAGATCGAGAGTATCCGTCACTAATCAGGTTATGAGGTGACCAGGGACAGACAGGCACACAGGCAATCTGTCACCATCAGTAGTGAGCAAAAGCTTGTTGATCTCAAAGTCTATTAGGATTGACCTTTCCAGGCACGGGGAGAGTATCTATGGTTCTACTCTTTCCATATAAGGGACTATCCAGCTACCAGGAGGGAAGAAGCAGCACCACTGCACGGTTGTCCTGTCATGCCTCAGAGCAGCTTTATGTAATGCTGTTCTTGACAGTTATTTCCCATAGAAACATTCCACTGCGCAAATTCTTAGCTGTGATCTAATATTTCTGTAGAGATTCTGAAGTGATAAATGCTATGGAATCAAGCCAGTGGGTTATGTGAGGGGAGAGAAAACAGTACTTAGAGACGTTTAAAACCTCCCTCTTAAAGAGTTACTGGAAATAGCATTTTCAGCTCCTCTTTTGTATTCAGGTGGGGGGTCCGTTTCTTGGTCCATCAGTGTTCGCCGAGATGAAAGGAGGCTGAGCACTAGTCCGGAGACCCTAACCGTCAGAGGGGAGGTGACTGACACCCCAGTCTCACCCCTCCTCTCCTAGAGAACAGGATGCTCCCAAACCGTGTGTCTGAAAGTGGGGGCAGATCCTCTAACGGTGAACAAAATGGGCAACAAATCACCACAGCTGACAGGACTCTCACCACACTCCCCTCTTTGCTTTTGGCAGTTAACCTCAGGCTATAATTGGAGGGGCTCCGGATTTAAGCCAGGGCCTGGATTCCTGTGTCCTTGTAGGCTGTTCTTCTACAGGTAAGGATATTGGCTACTGCCTACCTTCCAGTTGGTTCTTAACATGTGTTCCTTGGCTCTGCACTCCTGGAAGATGAGCTTCCAGCAGGAATAATCAGAGATGCTGCTCTCGGGAAGGTGCCCTTCCTGCTGGCACAGCCTGTACCAGAGCACTTCGTCTTCTGCAATCACCTTCCACGTCTTGCTCACCTAAAACAGAAGTGACACAAATGTCAAATTCTGCAATTAGAGAAGCCCCTTGTCATCCAAAAATCAATCAACACCTTTATTATTGCCCTGAGTTTATGGCAGTATAAAATGTCTCATTAACAAAACACTCTGAGGTGAAAAAAAAATACAAGCAAATGTTTCCAGTTTTATTTTTCAAGATTTCAAAACTGTTGTTCTACCATTTCATATCACATTTTAGATGACTTGGTTGAATTATTATATAACATGTAAGAAAAAAATACAAATACATAAAAGGCAAAAAATACAAATTGCAACATAGCTATACAATCATACACGGGTTTTCAGACCAGAAACTCTTTACTTTTTACCAAAGGCACTTGTGTTTCTTGATACACTTGGAGACTGATGACTTCTGAAATAAAAGGCTGTAACAAAATAAATATCCATAATGCAATATTTCTGGTCATATGAGAAAATTAAATTTATATTACACACAAAAACTTAGACTTTAAATGTATAGATTTAAAAAAAAATTTTAAAAGAAAACTCAAGCTGTTCACCAGGACTGTAAAATCTGATATACAGAAAATAATGTTGTATCTGGACAGAATTTCAAATCCCAACAGTGTGCAGAGGAAATGGCCATTTCCACTATTAGTATTTTGTCCTCCAAGCCTGAATCTGGGGGATGATGGATTTACTTCCACACAGGACAATGAACAAAGTTGGCTAGAGTGCAAAAGATGGACTCTCCTGGCCATAGGAGAAAATGATCCCGCAGGTCAACATGATCCTGGGTCTGCAGCACATTCTGGGAATGGAGGATTAAGTGCCCAACACTTGCTGCCCATTTAAAGATTAAGACTTATTCCTAATAAAGTGAGAGTCGTGACCACTGGTTTACAGTAATCTGCACTCCTTAACACTCCCTTGGGGCCACTTCAAGACACTGAATACAGACAAGAAAAGGGGACATGAGGCAAAGTAGGCGACAGTGCACACAGCATGTGCACGGCAGACTCTCATTACACCAGGGTTCCTCGTTTGATGAAGTACTGATAGGTAGTTAACTTTCAGGATGGCAGAGCAAAGATCTCCAAAAATCTGCTCCTACATGCAAGCAATAAGAATACTGCCAAAAATTGTCAAAAATCAACTTTTTCAGAACTCTGGCAATTAACTAAAGGCTTTTGACATTTTGAGGAGCATTTATTTAAGAAAAATGGCCATATCTTGGTAAGAACAACCTTCATGTTGTTTTAACTTGCACTAATCCCATCCTCCTCCTCCAGGACCACAGGTAACTCCATGATAGCCTTGAAAACCAATAGCTTTACAACTATGGTAGCTATAAAAACCAATAGCCTAATAGTCACCAAAAGGGCCAGATGGCTTTACAGGTCCCCACATGTGGTATCCCCAGAGAACTGTCATTATTTGACCTGACAGCTTGCTGGAAAGCTCTGTTCTAGAGGCTTGTCTTTATCTGACTGAACTCAAAGCTTCCTCTGTCTTATCTCCATTGCATTTGTCAAAAACAATAAGGGAGAACTGTTTAACACTGTGGCTGCCTAAGGTAACATTAGCAACTGGGGCTAAGAGGATCTGACCAAAAGCTTAGATGGAAAACTGGGGAATGGGATGTCTACAAGGGGCTTTGAAAGGTTCCAATGTATTTCTAGCACTCAAGAATGCCATATACATGTGTAGGACTCTGTGTGCAGCCAAGACCTAAGACAGCCCTGATCTCTCACTCTGGCTAACCCTGAAGCTTTCCACAAGCACAAAATGAAAGCTAAAACAGAGTTGTGACCTGTTGACATATTGAAAGCATGCCCCAACATAGAGAGAGCGCCTCAGCAAAAACTGGGAGATTTATTGCTTGAACACAGTTAGGGAAATCTCTGTCCAATCACTAGCTAACCACTAAGCTAAATGAGCAGAGAATTCAGTGGTCACAAATGACAAAAATACAAACTAAAGAATTAGTCCAGAGAAGTCATTAATAAATAGCAGCACCAAAGATAACAAAAACTAACCCTCCCAAAAGGAAAGAATCTGATTTCCAGAGTTGCCCATTATTTTAAAAGTCCAGTTTTTAACAAAAAAGGTTGAGACATGCAAAGAAACAGTAAAATAGGAACCATATACCAGAAGAAAAAGCAGCCAACAGAAACTGTCCCTGAAGAAGTCCAGACTTTGGAATTAGTAAAGACTTTAGATCATCTATTATAAGTAAGTTCAAAATATTAAAGGAAAGCAGGTTTAGGAAAATAAAGTTATGAACACAATGTTTCATTAAGTACAAAATACAGATAATTTTTTAAAAATAGAAGTTTGAAAGTTGAAAAGCAGAGTAGTAAACAAATAATTCAGATTTGAGTTAAAAGAAGAATCCACAAACTTAAAGTTAATTAAGATTATCCCATCTAAGAAAAAAAGAAAAACAACAATATAAACCCCTCCCACCAAAATGAAAAAAATTAACAGAGTCTCAAAGGCTTATGAATACCTTCTATGTGGACCAACATAGGCATTATGGGAGTCCCATAAGAGAAGGAGAGAAAGAGGTAGAAGGAATATCTAAAGAAATAATGGCTAAAAATTTCCCAAATACATTGAAAAATAAAACAGTTCACCAAACTCCATGAAGGATAAACTCAAAGAGTCACACCTCGACACATCATAAGATAGAATCATGAAAGCAGCAGGAGAAAAAGATTCCTTGTGTATACTTCTCATTAGAAACCAGGGAGAGCAGTAGCCTGGCATATTCAAAGTGCTAAAGGAGGAGATTGCGAACCAGTAACTCTATACCTAGCAAAACTATCCTTCAAAATAAGAGGAATTAAATTATGCCAAGATAAACAATAATAAGATAATTAATCACTAGTAGACTTGCCCTATAAGAAATACTAAAGGGAATCCTTTAGGCTGAAATACAAGGACACTAGATAGTAACTTAATCCACACTAAGAAGTAAATCAGTAAAGGTCATTACAAGGGTAAATGTAAGTGACAGTATAAACGTATTTTTTGCTTGCAACATGTTCTTCTGATTAAAAAGACAACTGCCTAAAGTATAAAATTGTGTTTATAGGCTTATAACAAAGACATAACTTGCATGAAATAATATACCAAGAAGGGAGAGGGAAGTTATAATGTAGCAGTTTTGGTATACTACTGAAATTAATTTGGCATTAATATAAACTAGATTGTTTTAAGATCCCTGGACAGTCATTAAGAAAAGAACTTAAAAAGTATACTGAAAGAAACAAAGACATTAAAATAGTGTGCTAGAAAAAGATTTAAACACAAAAGGAGGCAATAATGAAGAAAAAGAAGTACAAAAAAGACCTAAGACATACAGAAAATAGCAAAATGGTAGACATAAATTCTTATCAGTAATTATATTAAATGTAAATGGACTAAGCACTCCAATCAAAAGACAGATTGGCAGTTTAAATAAACATGACCTAAGGATATGCTGTCTACAAGAGACATACTTTTTTTTTTCTAAAGTAAACTCTACACCCAACATGGGGCTCAAACTTGTGACCGGAGATCAAGAGTCGCATGCTGACTGAGCCAGCCAGGTGTCCTAAGACATACAAACTTTTTATTTTATTATTATTTTTTTATTTTTTTATAAACATATATTTTTATCTCCAGGGGTACAGGTCTGTGAATCGCCAGGTTTACACATTTCACAGCACTCACCATAGCACATACCCTCTCCAATGTCCATAACCCCACCCCCCCTCTCCCAACCCCCCTCCCCCCATCAACCCTCAGTTTGTTTTGTGAGATTAAGAGTCACTTATGGTTTGTCTCCCTCCCAATGCCATCTTGTTTCATTTACAAACTTTTTATTTTTAAAGGTTCATTTACTTTATCTGAGAGACACCTCTAGGGGTTGTCAGGCAGAGAGTGTCTTAAGCAGACTCCATGCTGAGCCTGGAGCCCACTATGAAGCTCATTCTCATGACCCCAGCCAAAACCAAGAGTCAGATGCTCAACCAACTGCGCCACCCTGGCGACCCATGAGACACACATACTTTAGATTCCCATGCACAAACAGATTAAAAGGATGGAAAAAATATATACTATGCAAACAATACCTGAAAGAGAGCTGAAGTACATATACTAATGCCACTTAAATTTTAGGGGAAAAAAAAAAAGGTTACCAGAGACAGAGGATATTTTTATAATGAGGGCCAATCTATCACAAAGACCTAATCATCATAAACATATATACCTAAAAACAGAGCCCCCATCGGATCACTACGGTTGTATCTTTAGGGTAAATACCAAGCAGTGCAATTGCTGGGTCATAGGGTAGTTCTATTTTCAACATTTTGAGGAACCTCCATGCTGTTTTCCAGAGTGGTTGCACCAGCTTGCATTCCCACCAACAGTGTAGGAGGGTTCCCCTTTCTCCGCATCCTCGCCAGCATCTGTCTTTTCCGGACTTGTTAATTTTAGCCATTCTGAATGGTGTGAGGTGGTATCTCATTGTGGTTTTGATTTGTATTTCCCTGATGCCGAGTGATATGGAGCACTTTTTCATGTGTCTGTTGGCCATCTGGATGTCTTCTTTGCAGAAATGTCTGTTCATGTCTTCTGCCCATTTCTTGAATACAAGAAGCAAAATGTGACAAAACTGAAGGATGAAACGGACAACTCAACAATAGAAAGAAATTCTAATACCCAGTTTGAATAATGGATAGAATAAGTAAGTAGAGTATCAACAAGGAACTATAAGAATTAAACAACATACACACACGCACACACGCGCACACACACACACACACACATACAGAATTAAACAACAGTATAGGGGCGCCTGGGTGGCTCAGTGGGTTAAAGCCTCTGCTCTCTTCTCAGGTCATGATCCCGGGTCCTGGGGTCGAGCCCTGCATCAGGCCCCTGTTCAGCAGGGAACCTGCTTCCCCCTCTCTCTCTGCCCGCCTCTCTGCCTACTAGTGATCTCTGTCAAATAAATAAAATCTTAAAAA